TTCGGCGCATAAGGTAACAAATTCTAGAAGACCCGTACAACTAAAAGATAAACAATTATTAGAACAAAATTATGCTCGATCTATTTTCATGGAGAACATTCATATATTGACGTTAACGATTTTAGTTATTATTATAATACCTAATTTCACAATCGCCCAAACCAATGGCATTAAGATGAGGACATCCTCTAGCAACGTTAATTAAAACATCATCAATAAGGCCAGGTCCGTAAGCAGCTATAACGAGTTCCATTAATCGCGGACAATAACTGTGAATTCGCAATGCTATTGACTCCGATGGCGCTTCTCCAAAATATAAGTGCGTCACTGGAATATGTGACGTGAAAAGGGATTCGTGTTCTTCTTCATCAGTTATGTAAGACAATCTAAAGACAAAAATGATTACTTATATCAATAATACGTTATTTAATATAACTGTGATTAATCATTTTATTTCGTTTTTTAAGATCATCAACGAAACTCGAGAAGAAAATGACATAAATATACATTGGTCACTCACAAAACGAGATTGATGTTTGGAAACCGATCGACGAATGTTGTCCATACTTTTTCATCGATAACAGGAAGTGGTCTTATTTCAGAATGTACTTCTATTTTTAATGTCTCCAAATTGATTTCTTTTTCGGTGCACAAAGCCATCAGTAAATCGTCGCTTAATAAAGTATAAGACATGGATAATTCACGAAGACATCGACAGTGATTCACCAACGTTAGTATATCTGAAAAATTATTTTACAATTTTATTTTTTTTTTTCAATTTTTTACATTATTTCGATATTTTCTTTTTTCATTTAAATCTAAAAAAAGAAAAATAAAACGAACTTACCTTCCGGCAACAAATGCGGTGAACCTCTGATCCTCAGAAGTTGAAGACTCTTCGTCCACGCATTGTCCTCGACTTCCCGACGTTCCTTCCTCTGCTCTACCGTTGTCTTCTCGTTCGACAATGTCAATGCGGTATTGAAGCCTTCACTGTCAATATCGAGGTACGTCGATTTCGACGTATTTATAAGTGCCAACATCTATTAAATCAATGCACAAAATGGATCAAACAAAACACGAAAGAAATAAAAATGAAAAAGAAAAAGAAATGTACAAATAAATAAAATAAAAAGAATAAAATTATAATCACTAGATTCTCTACCTTTAAAATATATCTAATTGAACAATTTTTCTTTTTTGATATAAAAAAAAAAAAACCAAAAACGCTTGCAGAAACAAAGCTATGAATACATTCAAGCTTAAAAACTAGTTAAACTTTAATCACGAAGAAGGAAGATAAATCGAAGATTCGTCGCCAAGTGGCGAAGTCTTTTCACCAACTACCTAGGAAAGATCAAACACCGAGAAAAAGCGAAAGGAGGATTGGAAAGGCACGTAATCATTGTGTAAGTTCACCATTGATCTCAATTTGTACAGGGGATGAAGTCAAGAAGAGAGAGGGGGGAGGAGAAAGACAGGAGTTTTCTACTTAGAGAAAAAGGGAGAGGGGACCGGTCTGACCGCTACACGTGAAGATATGGACCAAAAGGAAACACTCTATTGGCTAAGTATTTTACTCTGGTGTTAGTATGAGCGAGAAGGTACAGTAAAAGTACTGCAAAACGGGTCAGGGACTTGTTCGGAGTATACTAACAGCAAGAATCTAGTAGGACACTCACGTGCTTCTCTTCGCCGCTCACGTGTACACTCGTTTTTACTTTAAGATATTTTTTATACGATTTCTTTGTTATATTTTATATATCTTTTGAATACTGAGTCGTGTAAAAAAGGTAAAAAAATATTTGTGATCTATTTATCTACTTTATATATGTGTATATGTTTAATAAATCATTATTGTTTTTTTTTCTTTTTTTTTTTCTTATCATAGATGGTTTTTGATATTTGACTGATAATTGTAAGAAAAAAAATAATTGTAAGTGTTAATAATCAAACTAAACAGTAGGAGAAATCGTTCTAATTCACGTCCCTGACACGGATACGCAGAACCTGTATCGACTCACGTGTATGAAAAGCAATTTAGTAGGGACCTCAGTAAAAGGTATTCGGAGTAAAAGCTATAGTTGAATACTTGGCAGGAAGTAAATGAAATTCACGATACTATATTCATATTCTTGAATATACGTATCTAGGAAGAATTACGTACAGAGCGTAAATCATTGCATTACTTGTAATTTTGTTTGATTTCAGAGTCCGTAAGGTTTTCCGCTATTGCAGTTAAATAAAGATGATGAGACGAAGAAAATACACCGTTCGTTTTGTTCCAATATATCTTTGAAATAGCGCATGTATCTTTCACGTCTTTTTTCTTCAGCATGGTTTAGAAACTTTCTCTAACATCTGCAAAAGAAGTAGTTTTTCTACAATCAATATATTCAATGTATGTATTCTACAATACACACAATTATTTATTTAATTATAAATTGTTTTTATCATTAACAATAAATTTTCTATTTCATATACAAGATAAAAATATAATGAATAAAAATATTAATACATTAGGTATTAGTTATTAAACTTTACTCAATTATTTTAATGTAAGTTAACGTAAATGTGAGTTCGTCAAGTTATTAAAGAATTATTATTATTTAAGAAATGAAAAAAACATATTATGCATTAAATGAATCATTCATTAGTGATAGTACGATTTCTACATATACATGATATGTATATATTGAATATAAAAGAGTGCCTAATAAGCGCAATCCTTTGATTTACGGCTCTTCGATACATTTAACACATAAGTTTTATTAACTAGTTTGCATATATGGGTTTGGAATCGTGATATGAATTTTCCCCGATAGATACTTCGATCATTTACTTTTCCGATTTTTCACAAACATTGTAGAAATATTTTTCAATCAATTCGATTGGTTCAATCTACTTGATTCACACGTCAGTCAGTCATTCTATATTAAGAAAGTGATTTTTGTTTTCTTACTGTAAAGCTCTTTTGTTATACTAAATATAAATTAATAGAACATCTACATACTTCTATTATTTTTCTCATAATTAAAAAAGAAAGCGATATTTTATAAGCTATCAGATTCGAACTAGATTACTGTACTTAGATTACTTAGATTACTTAGTTTACGATAAAATTAAAATTACATTACAAATTTGCAAATGGCTAATAAAAAAAAAATTAACACATTCTTAATTAGATCGTACAATGATAATAATTGCAATTATATTTCCCGTAAAAACAAAATTACATAATACGGCTAACAAACAAAATTATATGGCTAATAAAAAAAAATAAAGAAAATGATAAATTCTTAATTTGATTATATAATGATGGAAAACTTTTTGAAAACGAATTAAAATGGATTTAAATGAGCGATACGTAATTATCGACGTTTGGTCGTTCATTTGAGTCCAGAAAACGTAATATATACATACATAAGCACGTACATGCGTATTCCACGGGTCGTGGATTTAGCGTGCACGTGCCTCGACGCTCACGTGTGCCGTTGATATTTCAAATACGTGGTCGATCAAGCTGCCTGCCAGCCAAAGAAATTCTTCGTCTATCGGAAAACACGCAACGTTTATAATCACATTCTTTCACTTTAACATTATAGTAGATAATTCTATGAAAGTATCGTTTACACGTGAATAATACCCTGCTATCTTTTCAATATTTTTTCTTTTCTTTTATCAAAATTGCCATTTGTAATATGAATGAGATACTTTTTATATTATATACTAATGTAAAATTGAGTAAAAATCTACTTGATTTTCTTTCTTTTTTATTTTGTTATTTTTATTTATTTATTTAATCTTTTTTTATGAAACGGAGAAATCAAAGAATGGTGTCGTTAATATCACTTTTAATAAATATTATTAAATAGATTTGTATAATATTTACGTATTGATTATCAAATTTACATGTTATAAATGGGCTAATTAAAGTTATCGAAGAAATTCGAACAACGGATGCATCGCTATGGTTTATGATACGTATATGATTTAAATACGATATATATAAGAACGATTACTTGCAAAATTAAACGTCATGCAATATAAAAAAATAAAAGAGAATTTTTATACATATATATATATATTTATATAGTAAACGTAGACACATTGATAGATACAGCTAATTGTTTATTATGTTAACAGATTTGTTTAAACATTTACTTAGATTTATCAAATACGATTTTACCTCGAATAAACTGCGAATTTCCAATGATTAGTGAATTTTACGTTAACAAGTTCTACAAATTTTTCGAACAAAATTCAAAGCGTCTCGTACGAAAAAAATTGACAACGATCGCGATATCATCGATCACTTTTCATCTTATAAAGAAACTTGCTTTTTCTTTTTATTTAATTATTGTTATACATTTTTTAATTTTTTCTATGTTTCTTCGTTATTTTTCAAAGCAACGTTACGTGTTACACACACTTCGCTGACTGACACGAATGAAACGTTTCTCGGTTTTCACGACTGCGCAATGTACGTGTCGATTAAACAGATTTCTTAGTTACCAACTTCTTAAACATAACATGTGCATACAATAATGTCAAATTATTGATCAGTAAATATGTACAAATCTATAATCTATGTCTCGCAAAGACAAGATCGAATTTGTATCTATTTATCGTTTGCTTTCTGTTTCTTTTCTTTTTTTATTCAATTTATCCATAATATTAAAGGCGAACTCAAAACCACAGAAGCCAGCAGCATTTGCTATAAATGCCCGTGCCATAACTGTTGTCACTCCTCTATAAAGTGCCAGAAATCCTCCTTCTTTCATTATGATAGGAAAAACAGATCTGATACCACGAGGATACGTTTTCATTGGTGAGGCTTGTATTCGTGTCTTTATTGCATCAGCAGGCAAACTGATGAGCCAAGTCATTACTCCTGCCATACCACCAGCCAGTAGAGGTTGCCATGTTATCTTAGTAAAGGAATAAAATATTAGAATAAAATATATTAGATATACGATGTATTTTATGATAGAAAAAAATATCGAATGAAAACGTTATTTTGTTTGATGGGCAAAACAAAAGATTTTTTTTCAAGATCATTTTTAAGGTCGATATTTCAAAGTCATCGAAATATTTTCTTTTTCAATAGGAGTACTTTTAGCGAGGAGAAATAATAACTGTGGTCAGGACGAATCCAACTATATATAATACTATGATCTCCATCCGAGTGACGTTGAATAAGAAACAAAAAAAAGAAATTCACGAAAGTTGGACTACCGATGCAAATAATAAATAACTATGATAAAAAGATTAATGAAGAAGAATTTATTTTAACGAGTCTTCATCAAAATGTTGTCCATCGACTTCAATATACATTTCTCTAAACGATTAATGCACGATTCTACGCGACTCCTTGTTTACTTGTTTACTGATATTAGCAAATGCTGTTTTAATACATTCTTTCATGTTTTCCTGTATTTTGGAAAAGCTGTCTCATAAATTATTGATTTAATCAAAAGAAAATAATTTGATAAAAGCGCAACAGATCGAATATCTACATCACGATCGATTCAACACTAGATCGGCTATTGATACGTTGTGAGCCAAATATCTGTTTTAAAACTACATTAGATATGTTTGAGACGTGGAAATGTTTTTTAACAATTCAATTTTTATGAATTTTTTTTTTTAACTTAAGGTCACGTAAAAAGCATAGTACTAAAGATGGTTGGATTCATTCTGACCTCAACTATCATTTCAACATGATAAAAATATATAGTCTAATTGAAAAAGAAAGAAGTTCGATGGCCTTGAAATATCGACAAAAATGATCTCGAGAAAAATTGTTTGCCTATCATAATATTTGGCTCTTTCAAACGAAATAATGTTTTCCTTCGATGTTTTTTCTTATTATAAAAAATAATTAAGATATTCAAAATGTTCGGGTTAAGTGGAACACCCTGTATTATAAACAATGTGTATGTTTATTATATAATATATGAATGTATACACAAGGTGAACCAAATAAAATTTTATCAATATGTATCATTTAATAAAAATAATGATAAAATTAATAATTGATATTTGCAAAAGTTTCAATGATAATAAATTGCAACATTTAAATCGGCCAATTTTTTTTATATTAAAACATTGCTCACTTCTTCCGAGGAATCTAAAAGAAATCCCATGATTCGTTCATAACTATAAAAGTATGTGACACAGGATGGTATATCTCGTAACAAAGTGGCACAGGTACCTAAATAAATATTTCGTATTCCACCTTCTTGAAATAATTTTTTCACACAATCACTAAAACCTTTGTACTTCTTCTTCGTTCCTACATTCCTCTTTTCAAAGGTTTAAAGTAAAAAAGAAAAAAAGAAAAGAAAACAAAGATAACGAGGAAAGAAATGCAATTTTATTTTAATATAAACGAAAATATTGTTTCTTTTTTTTTTCTTTTTTATTGATCAAGACATTTAGATATTCCCGTATTATGAAAAATAATTCGAATGATATTTCGAAAAAGTTAACATATTTGCAATAGCTGTACTTGTGATTGAAGAAGGCACTTTATACGTTCACCAGGTGCTGCTATAATAGTCGTGCATATTCCACTGAACATTCCTGAGAATAATAATTGTATGTCCGTGAATTTTGTTTGACCTGGTTCACTAACAAGTAATTTGCCAGCACCAAAAGAAAAGAAGCCGATAGCCGATATTGGAATGACGGTTATCAAAGGTGCTGATATACCCTATCAAGTGTAAAAAATAATCATTATTTCTTTTTTATTTATGTTTTCTCTAATACCTTTAAAGTGGTCAGTCCTTTGTTACTGTTACTATTATTCTTATTGTTATTATCAAGAGTACATTTTTTAAGAAAAATTTTTATTATTTAGAAATTATGTATAATATGTCAGGTAAATCACGATCAGCTTACTTAGATAATTCCGTTATCAATAGGCTAATTGAAAATTCTTTTAATAGGATATAACATTAAAGAGTTTTTAAGATGATTGCAATAAATTATTTTTCTTACTCTTCTTTTTTCAGGAATTTTCAGTCACGTGTTTATTTATTTATTTTTTTTGTAGATAAACCTATAATTCTTTATATATGTTAGAGGATATTGAGATGAATTTTAAGCCATTGAAAAAGCTAAACATTGATTTATTTTTGGTCTAAGCAAGTGTATTGTAAATAATGGATACTATTCTAAGTATAGTTTCAATTAAGATAAAGGATAATTACTTTGAAGAGAATTATTTTAATTCAGATAAAAAGAGAAATATATTTGCAAAATTTGTCTGAAATATATTCACTAAAAAATGGATATAAAAAACATTATAGGTTTATTTATAATAATAATAATAATAATAATAATAATAATAATAATAATAATAAAAATAATAATATTAACAACAATAACAACAAGAACACCAACATAAACACAAACAACAACAACAACAACAATAACAACAACAACAACAACAATAATAATAATAATAATAATAATAAAACTGAAGTGACTTTAAAAATTCATTGTCAGAAAAAAAAGTTAACAAAAAATTTACTATAAATTTAATATAACTTAAGCTGATATATATAACATTTCGTGGTTTACTCAGTATCTTAAAATATTCTTATATATCTCTCTCCCTTCCCCTTTCTCTCTCTCTCTCTCTTTCTTTCTGCAATGCATTTAAAAGTAATTCATTATTCACCTTGTATAAACCAAGAGGTCCTTCTCTTCTAATGAAATTCCTAACTAGATGATATATGTTTTTATCCATATTTTGTGCCATTTGTAATCGAACTTTAATAGTATCGAACGGATGGCCAACAACTACTACACATAAACCTCCAAATGCTCCTCCTTATTAAAAACGAATAAAAATTATTATTAACTAAATAAATTATTCAAGATGTATATATATAATCGTATTAAGGTTAATTATACCTCTTACCTATCAAATATTGTAAAGGAGTATGTTCTTTTAACATGTTATTAATCGATATATCTTATATTTTCTGAAATGGGACTTTTTATTATCATCAAATACAAACATGTTTGCCAATAAAGCATAATTCAATTGCATTAAAACACATATGTATAAACAAGATATAATATTAAAGAAATCAACATATTGTGTGTATGTGTTTGTATGTATGTTTGTGTGAGTAATATCGAAAGAGAAAGAACCATTTAAAATATCGGAATCGTTAGATATCGAAATAACAATCTTTCGATTTTCGAGTTAAGAAAGGAAGAATCGTTATTTTAAAATTGATCTGATTGGTAAAATATTTTAAATTTTGGTAAGTAGATTATATTTATCTTGTATCAATTTTTAAAAATCAATTGTCTTTGGAAAGAATAATAATTTCGTAACATCTTGAAATCGAGAAAATTTTTTCAGATACATCTTTTAATATTAAACTTCAATAATTTTACGAAACGTAATCTTAATACAACATAATACAATCAATTTGTAAGGTTATTTTACCCATATCAATAATTTAACTTGTTACTACTAACTTTCTATCATAAATTCTACATTTTTTAAAGGATGTAAATGTTAAGTAAATATCATTACACATCATTAATGAAGAAATATTTATTCCTTCGAATTTTGAGGACTATTAAAACCACCACGCAACTTTTCGTAATTCTCGCTGTTACCATAAGATGACATATCAAGATCATATGCAAGTATAAATTAAATGTTGATCGAAATTTTAAGCGAATAATTCAAAAGTTCTTAATGTTCATTAATAATTAATAAATGATTAAATATAATATATATATATATATATATATATATATATATATACATATATACATATTTATAGAAAATATAAAATATAAAATATAAAATATGAAATATACATATATATGTAGATAAAGAGAGAGAAAAAGAAAAAAGGGAAATGGAAAAAGAAGATACATATAAAAGATATTAATATTATAATAAATCAATTGTATAATGATTAAAATGTAACAATATTATAAAGAAAGATATATTTAAAAGAATATAATAAAAAAAAATCTTATCAAAAATATCAGGTCAGTCCAAAAGTTCGTGCGCATTTTGCTACATACATACATGCTACTAATGCGCACGAACTTTTGGACTGACCTAATAATTACTGACAAAATAATAATCAAAGAGATCATAAAGCAGGGCTATTCCCTGTATTTAGTATCAGTAATATAAAATTCATCAACGGGATAAAATTTCGCTGTGGAATAACGACTTTTCTTATATGTTTTCTCGTATAAAAAAGGACAAGAAACGTTCGAAGGTACATATATCCATTGGACTCTACGTTTCATATTTTTTGGATAAATACTATCGGGGAAAGTAAATATTTTGTCATTTGGAAAATATGTTTTCGAATTTGGCGATAACTTAGTCATTATATCATTACAATTAAAATTTTTATTCGAAGAACATGACGCAGTAGAATTGATATAATTGCTGGAATATTCGATTGTAATGTTTTCTTCCGTGCTTGTTCCCCTTTCGTTCAAAATCTGTTGCGCCTCCCACATATCTCCGTTCTCCAATGCGTTGGCTGCCATTTTGACGAACGTATGATCCAAATTGGATTTCTTCTTGTACGTTTTCTTCGCCATAGATTTTGTCTTTTCGTAATCAAACTTATTAACTAAATTTCGAACTAAACCTCTCGAAGTATGACGAGTTTTATTTTGTACGATCTTCTCCATTTCCATAGATTTTCTTGTCGAATTAAAAAGATTGTTCGACAAGTCGTCCGTATCCGATTCTTCGGAAGAACTATCCTTGAAAAAATTGTTCAAATCCTTTGTCGGCGAACATACTGCAAATTGTCTAAATTCTTTCAAACGATATAGAAGTTCTTGTTTCTTTGAAATCAGATCTTTTAAAGCCAGTAATTTCTTTTCTTTAATGTTTAATTCGATAAGTTGTTGTCTCTGATAATCCATATAATTATTTGGAGCGCATATCGACATTATCGATGATGGTTTGCTGGTACACAAAGAATATTCTTCATTATTCAAAGTTGATGAGAAAATGGCTGTTTTTGAGCCACCAGGCGTTGTCAAAATACGTGGCTTGAAAGTTTTGCTTCTCCGCGGTGGCATCGAAACGATCGGAGGATCATTTTTCAACGTAACTTTATCAGGTAAAATGGCTTCACTGCAGCATTGCTTCTGATTATTATTATCTTGATAGAAATTTGGCTTTTCCTTCGGGAAATATTCAGGCGTCTTTAAAGGATCAGTTTTCCGTAGCAACTCTTCTGATAATTTTAAAGGTTCTTCTTTCAACGGAGACGTAAACACGATATTGAGATTCTGAAGCTTTCTACATGGCGATATTCTTGGATAAGTTACACTGACGTTCTCAATTTTTACCACTGGAATTTCCGTATTAAATTCTTCGTTCCTATTAGACGAGGGTTTTGATGGGATTTCCTTCTTGGTGTTTTCTATCAAATCTTCCGTTTCCTCAACTATATCATATATTCCAGAATTATCTTCGGAGGTTTCCATAGATTTTGTTTTTGTTTTTATATCCTTTGGAGAAATCTTAAAATCTATAGTTGATAAAAATTGTTACATCGTTTGACAAGTGAGTATAATATAAATCATATGTAAATGAAAGAAAGAAAAAATAAAAATATATATTTTAATAAAAAATAAGAGAACATTAAAATTACTTACTGAAATATTTATAAGAATCAGAAGTTTGCCAGACCGGTGAAGGATTTCGTCCTGATTCGAATTTTTTATTTAACTTCGAATTATTACTTTTACGTAAAAACCAAGACGGCAAGAATAGCTTTTTAAAAGATCTCTGCCCTTTTACTTCTTCCTGGGTAGATTGTTTTCGAAACTATATTAAAAAGAAAGGAAAAGCAACTAAATAAATCACTTCACTAATACTTTTATTTTGTAGAAAAAACATTTATAAAAATATTTTATAAATAAAATATTCATTTATATTAAAAAGAAAAAAAAAAAAAGAAAAAAAAACACTTGCCGGTTCTTCTGAAGATCGTAATACACTTCCCTTTAACCACTTCATTGGCACAACCATGATGATGAGTTAGAATTTCTTCACTAAAGTTATAATTCACAATTATTGTTACTGACTTAGTCCGAATTTCTCTGATTTTGTCGTTAACCTTTCTCGATGTATACTGTACTCGATGTGTACTGTACTCGATGTACTCTTCCCGAAGGATTCCTCCAAATTGGTAAGCAACATGATCTCTAGCCCTGTTTTATATATAACCCCTCCTAACCCACCTTTAAGAAGTGGAGGAATACCTGACTCAAATTTTCACCAATTAGAAATTTTTATCTCAGAGATTTACAAACGAAAAAAGTACCCTTATTATAATGACACCATAAATACCGTAATTTTGTGAAAATCCCTTGCCATACAATGTTAATATACCTGGATTAAGTAACTTACTGAATGGCGGGGACGGACTTACTGAAGGATCATTAAAATATTATGTATTTCGTTTTGAAAAAATGTCAAGGGGAAATAATATTTCAAAATTCATCAATGTGTGTGTATAAATATATTATATATATAAACATATCTGGTGTCATATGTTTATATATATATGTAGTTATATATATATATATATGTGTATATATAGTTATTATATGTGTATAAATTTTGTGTGTGTGTGTGTGTGTGTGTAAATAATATTTGTATTTTTCAGTTAACGTGTAAAAAAGATCACCTAAAAAAAGTTAAATAAAACTTAATTTACAAATAAGGTAAGACCTATATTAAACTAACTATATAAAAAGTAAATTAAAATATAGAAATGCATTCACTAAAAACATTTTATTTAATAAACACATAAAAAAAGAGTTAATGTTTCGAGGAAAAAGAAAAAAATAATTATTATGCGTTTTTTCAACCATATAAAAGTAAGTAATGAAAACACAGAAATAAAACATATTTATATTAAACTATAAATATGAATCGTATAAAAAAAATACGTGTAAAAGAAGATCCAGATACACACACAACACACACACATACATGTAATATTAAACAAATGTCTTCGCAAGTACATCATAAAATGTGAAAATAAAATTGGTTAAATTTGAAAAACTAGGAAATTTCGTTCGTAAAATAAATGTTAATTATGATATAATCCTCTGATATTCCAAGATATTCAGGGTTATCATAAATCTTTTTCGAAGGGACTATTAGTACATGAGATTCGTTCAAAATATAATTGCTTTTAAAGCAAATGTACCTACATAGATACCTGTGAAAAAAAGAAAGAACTTATCTCGAGAATGTACCTAATATATAATAACTTTTTCGAGTAATATTATTTATAAATATATGTGAGCATATATATACATAGATCCATGAATCTTCATCATTCTTTTCATGAAATACTTATTATTTTTTGTATGCATGAATGATAAATAAAAATATTGAAGAATATATAAAGGAAATATTAAATTATATTAATAGAACATCTGACACACTCTATTAAAATTTTTTTCTAATTAAAATTGTTTTCTATTTATTTTACTCTATTTGAAATGCTTTTCTTATCACCTTTATTATTTATTGATAATGCTGAAGTTATAGAAAAAAAGGAAAAGCAAGGAAAAAATAAAGAAAAGAAAGAAAGAATATAAGACGATAATTATTTTTCATTACTTTTCTTCGTAAAACGCATATTTCTTATATTCGTTTCTTCCACAAAAACACAATTTATTTTAGTAGAAAAAATAAAAACAGTTATTGGGCACTATTTTAAAAAAGAAACAATCTTCATTTCGTATGTCGAAACGCTTATATTCGTTCTGTATTCGGAGTAGTCAAAAAAAAAAAAAAAGAGAGACAATGAGAGAGAGAGAGAAATAGGAAGAGAGAGAGGACAGATGAAAAGGTGGGGGTTATATCCGTTCAGACCTTTCGGTTTTCTCTTCTTTAATATAGCTCTTCCATTTACAACGAGTCTGTCCATGAATTGTTTTAAACGCCAGCCACGTTCAACATAGTGTCAGTATAGTCATTCTTCTTCGAAATATTGTGTTGTTTAGTAATATGTAAATATTATATTATTTTAAATGAATACTTGGCAATAATATCGAGTGTATAAGTGTTAGTTTATCTATATATATGTATATGTAGATTTTTGTTTCTATATGCATTTATATACATACGGACATGTAGATATAAATATAAATATATATATTATATTTATAAATATAAGTATATATATTATATTTATATTTATATATATATGTCTATATGTATATATATATATATATATATATATATATATATATATATGTCCATAAGTATACATTAAAATTATATATAAATGTATAATAATATTTTAGTTGGATATTTTTTGAAAATCTGTGTACTTGTCATGGAGGCTCAGTTAAGTGCAAGGTATGGTTTATTTTTTTATTCTTTTTGACAGTCAAACTTCTACTTTTCTAACAATAGGATATTTATAACTACTATCATAAAAATAAAATATAATGTCAGGTAGTCGAAACCTTTCCTTTAAATCTTCGGTTACTTAAGGGAGGATTTATAAGGGAAAATCCTTATAAATCCTATGAAGGAATAATTACAGTTATTTTCCTGAGTGTTTTCAAAGGAAATCATAATGGAACGTTCTATAAATTGAACATTTCTAATTTTAAGGAGGATATCGTAATTTTACTGAATGTCAACTCAGTTATTAACGTAAATTCTTTTACACTAGCGTTTCAGAATGCTAACTTGCAATTTGAAAGTAAAAAATTATATTAAGTTATTTCAATATAAATAATTTATTGTAAAATTTGATAGACCTTCTTCGGGAATATTAATCATATTTTGAGGCTTCTAAAAATAGTATTATAGTATTATGTTCCGTAACTTCGTTTTGTTGTTAAAAGGTGACACTGTTACATGTTCGTTTTAAATTGGTTTGAAGAGAAAGCGAAGTTTCCCCGATCGGAATGTAACATAAATTATACGAGAAAGGAACATCATACAGAATATCGTTCACATATTTTTCAGTGAAATTAGTACACCGTAATTAAAAAAAAAAAAAGAAAAACATAACAAAAATATTTTAAATACAGAATATTCAGCATAACGTTCGCCATGATTTTTTAGGCACTTCAAGAAGTATGATAAAAAAATCCTTTGAACAAAAAATGATTAGTGCTCGATCATCAACATATTATAATTATACATATTAAAATAAAAATTATAATTATACATATAATTATTTTCTCTTATTCCAAAAAAAAATCGTGGTCAGTTTTATTTTTACGACAATACAATCTTCGATTATGTTCCTAGAATCAGCCGACTTTTACGGTCGAGCACTTCTATGTGCAAGAGATGCAAGCAAGAAATACTTTCACGGATGTTATACACTAAAACGGTAAAGTCTTCTTTAAACAATAAAAATCTTCTAAACAATAGATTATATATTGGGTTAGCAACTAAGTGATTGCGGAAAGTGTAACGTCCATCCATCGACAAAATTCGCAATCACTTAGTTGCCAATCCAATATTATAATCATTTTATTTTATGTCAATTATATGAATTGTTATCACACATATATCAAACAAAATTTATATGATTTTTTAGTGTACTAATGTGGACATAGAATGTAATGTAAAACCTTATTATGAAATACCAGGACCAAAATCAGTTCCAATATTAGGTAATACTTGGAGAATGCTGCCACTGATTGGGCAATATGAAATTTCGAATACAGCAAAAATAAGCAGAATATTTTATGAAAAATACGGAAAGATCGTTCGTTTGAGTAATTTGATAGGTCGACCGGATTTACTTTTTGTTTATGATGCTGATGAAATCGAAAAGATTTATCGTCAAGAAGAACCGACACCTTTTAGACCTTCAATGCCTTGTTTGGTTCATTACAAAAGTGTTATTCGTAAGGATTTCTTTGAAGATATTGGTGGTGTTGTTGGAGTGTAAGTGAGAAAAAAATTAATTATTTGTAATCTCTTATCTTCTAATATATGAATTTTATCTCATCGAGTAAATATACTCTTAAATTGTTAAAACTAACAATTATTTATTCGAATTATATACTCTTAAACTGTTGAAACTATAATATTTAAATTATTTTTTTTTTCAAATAATTATTTCTCTTAAGATATTACTACTTCAATAAATCAATATGGGACATTAGATCTTAAAATTTCTTGAATAATTTCGTGTTTGAAAAGGAATATTTCCCTTTCCTTATTATGTCATTCTTAACTATTAAAATAGTCATTACAATTCATATATTTGGCTTTTTTACTATATAAAACAAACTACCATGTTTGTTTTGTAAATTTTGTATAATAAAAACAATGTCAGTTTAATAAAATTAATAATAAAACAACGTTTAAAAAAAATAATAATTTAAAAAACAACGAAATAACAACAGTATGAAAACAAAATAAGAAAAAATAAAATAATACTAGAAACAATAAAAATAAAATAAACAAATTCAAACGAAAACAAGAAATTATTTGTTAAATCAATATTTCTGATACGTTTAAATAATATTAACTTGGCTACTAAGTACTGTCGGAATTTTCAATATAAAAAGTATTAGTAAAATTATATACATATATATACATATATATATATAAAATATATTATAAAATTATATATACATATACAATTACTCACATTAATATTCGGACAATGCACTATCTGTATATTTGCTGCTGTGTACAAGGGAGGATGATTGAAATATCATATTGCTTATTTTACAAAAATATAAACCATTTATTGTAGATTGAAAAAACATATACACTTTCTTTCTAACAATTATATTTAATTGTAAAATAAACTTTAAAGAAAAAGTATTCACATTTTCATGTCACATTAATATTTGGACACTTTAAAAAAAATAAATATTTTATATATAATATTACGAAAAAATAAGATTTTAATATTTTGTCGCATATCGTTTTTGTTTGACAACTTCATGCAGTCATTTAGGCATATTAAAAATAATTTTTTCAAATATTCTGGAGAAATAAAATCCCATTCTTTTTTCAGCCTCGTTTTTAACTCATTTTTTTAATTTATCGTTGATTTTCTAATTTTGTTTTCTAATTCGTTTCATAAATTTTCGATTAGATTCAAGTCTGGAAATTATGTTGATGAATATAAAACTTTTGGACAATTATATAATAAATATTCTTGTACTATCCAAGCTTTATGCTTTGGATCGTTATCATAGTCAAATTTGAAAGAATTTTGTATACCCATCACAGTTGCACTTTTCTGTAAATTTTTTTTCAAAAGATCCAAATAATTATTCTTATCTAAAATATTGTCGATGAACACAAGCTCATTAACTCCAGCACTCGAAACACATCCCTATACAATCACAAAACCACCTCCGTGTTTAAAAGTAGGTTTCAAATGTATTGATTTCAAAGCTTTACTTATTCTTCGCCACACTATATTTTCTGTCTGAACCAAAAATACAATATTTACTTTCATCAGAAAAAATAATATCTTCTAAATTTTCGGTTTCTGAATGAACTCTTTAGAATTAGCCAATCTTCTTTTCCTATTTATTTTATCGATATACGGTTTTCTTCTTGCTATTCGACCATTATACCCATTGTTTCTCATTACTCTATGCACTGTTTCAGCACTAATTGTCTTCCCACTTTCATTATAAACTTTTGAAATTGATTGTGGAGCATTATAATACAGATTTTTTTTTAATTTTTCGTACTATTTTTCTTTCTTCTCTTTCATTCAAAATTCGAAGTCGGCCTTTTTGTTGTTTAAATTCGATGCAGTCGTCTTCTTTATATCTTTTAATAATATCAGCAACTATACTCTTCTTTATTTATTTCATAAGTTTTGCCTTTTTTTCTGTGATAAATTACAAGTTACCTTTTATCAAAACTTGTATTCTTTCCCTTTCGTGATATATTAAGTTTCAGTTGTTTATATTTTAATAGACAACTTTATACTGAGATAAAATTACATTCTAACAGTTTGTACACAAAAAAAATCTATTTCGCAGCCTGAAGAATTTTTTGGAATTACTAGATTGCAGAATTTACACTGATGTCCGAATATTAATGTGACTACTTTTTGTTTAAAATTTATTTTACAATTAAATATAATTGTTAGAAAGAAAGTGTATATGTATTTTTAATCTACAGTAAATAGTTCATATTTTCGTAGATTAAGCAATGTGATATTTCAATTATCCTCCCTTGTACACAGCAACAAATGTAGAGATAGTGTAGTATCTGAATTTAATGTGAGTAACTATATGTACATATATGTAAATCTTGTAAATAATTCAAACAAAAACACACAAATTATTTGTTAAGTAAATAAATTCTTTTAAATTGTTGAAGTATTATACACTGCTAATTGTAAGAGCTACTAAACATCAAATTATAATAAATCAATATTTATTCAGGCATGGTGAATCATGGAAAAAATTTCGCACACGCGTTCAGAAACCGGTTCTACAGCCACAAATCGTAAGAAAGTACATAACACCGATTGAAATTGTCACAAGTGATTTCATAAAGAGGTATTATTTGAAATTATTGAGAAATACGTCAATGTTTAGAAAATACTATGTCAAAAAAAGAGAATTTAATTTTATAGATTTCAAATATATACGTTTGCAGGATAGAAGATATTCAACAAAAAAATGGAGAATTACCGGGAGATTTTGATAACGAAATACACAAATGGGCATTGGAGTGTAAGTGTTATTTATATACAATATTTGTTTAATATATTATATAATTGTATTTTTTCAAATGATTCTGATATACAAGTACGTTGATATCCAGGTATTGGACTCGTCGCCTTGGACGTACGATTGGGATGTTTAGGTGGATCCCTTATACCAGATTCTGAACCACAAAAGATTATCGATGCCGCTAAATTTGCTTTGAGAAACGTAGCTGTCCTTGAGCTGAAAGCTCCTTTCTGGAGATATATACCAACTCCTCTTTGGACTCGATACGTTCGTAACATGAATTACTTTATTGAGTATGTTAATTTAATTTTAATAAGTTGCTATTACTTTTTTTTGCCCTCTTGTTTATATATTTTTCTTTTTTCTATAAAATATGATAATTTTGATTTCAGAATATGTATGAAATACATTGATGCTGCGACTGAAAGACTTAAAAACAAAAAGTCTACTAACGAAGAAGATCATTCTTTGGTAGAAAGAATTTTAGCAACCGAAACTAATCCTAAAGTAGCATATATTCTCGCTTTGGATTTAATTTTAGTCGGAATTGATACGGTATGAGAAAAAAAAAACAAGAAAATAATTTAATGACGTTCTACTTAATCGCATTAAATATGTGTTATTATTTATATATCATTGTGTTATAATTGCTTTAGATATCAATGGCAGTATGTTCAATACTGTATCAACTCGCGACAAGACATGAAGAACAAGAGAAAGTTTACCAAGAATTACTTAAAATTCTACCTGATCCAAATACTCCTCTCACTACATCACATCTCGATCAAGCAGTCTACACAAAGGCTTTCATTCGAGAAGTTTTCAGGTAAATTACATGCATATGTATTCAATAAAAATAATAATAATAATGTAATAATTGATCTTTACTATTAGTATTTTATATTTTTTAATAAATATCAAACAACTCATGTTGCAGGATGTATTCTACTGTTATTGGCAATGGTAGAACATTACAAAATGATACCACAATATGTGGTTACAAAGTACCGAAAGGAGTAACTATCAATAATCTTTTAATCAATTTAATAATAGTAATTATAATATTTTACATTTATAATTATAACTATATATCGTAGGTTCAAGTTGTATTTCCTACAGTCGTAACTGGAAATATGAAAGAATATGTAAATGATGCAGACATATTTAAACCATCGAGATGGCTTAAAGCTACTCCCGATCAAAAGCTTCATCCGTTTGCATCACTACCGTACGGATACGGTGCACGCATGTGCCTTGGTAGAAGATTCGCTGACCTTGAAATGCAAATTCTCCTTGCAAAAGTAAATGATTTTGAATTGAAGACAAATTTTATTTATTGTTTTTACTAAAAGTAGTGTAAATTTATGTTCAGCTTTTATATAAAAAATGAGACGGACTGTTGCATGGACTCTATATACATACACACATATATATATATATATATATATATATATATACATTATATATATAATGTGTATATATATACATACATATATATATATATATATATATATATATATGTATGTATATATATGTATGTATACATATATATATATATATATATATATATGTATACATGATACGAAGTGTCTGTCCATAAATGTCCGAGCAATTATCTTGTGACTGGATGAAATTACAAGAAAGGTTAATGAAAGAAATTTGCACTGCTCGTGAGTTAATTACAATTAACTCAATATAATTAACTTAAGTGCATGTAAAAAGAATTCTTTTTTTTGTACTCGTAACCTTTCCATAATTTATAAAAATCAACATAATTTTTGTTAAACGTATACTTACATATAATTTTCTTTTTTTTTTGCATATTTATATAGTAGTTATTTCCAATTTAAATCGTATAAAATATTAAAGTATTGCTTTTTTGTAGCAGAATTTGAAAAGCAATCATCAGTCTACATAATATTTTGAAGTTGGTTACGTCGAATATAAACTGCCAAAATCTTTAATTCGTCAAAACTGCTTGATTTATAAATAATGTATCTGTATGGCATAAAGTATGAATTATAGTACAGTATGAATCTGTTAGTAAATTGTTAAGATGCCGATTATTTGTGAAGGTTTTTTTATTAATAATGAGCAAGAAGATTAACATATGACATTTCACAATGAAGCTTCTATGTTCTATGTTTTAGCTTATACGATCATACAAGTTGGAATATCATCATCAACCATTGAAATATAAAGTTACATTCATGTATGCACCAGACGGAGAACTCAGATTTAAATGCATTAAAAGATAATATAATATGTTTAAAATTTATGCAACAATGATGGATATATACAAAAAATTATGGCTACCGTTATAAGGACCGTTATATATATATATATATATAATATAATATATAATATATATATATATATATAATAATTATTCTATATATTACATAGTTGTATTTTTTTAATTTGTTATAATTATTATAAATAAATATATTATATATTTCTATATATGAAATAAAAATAAAAGCATAAAATAATATTATTAAACGAATCAAACATATCTTTTCCTTCTGAAATTACATTTAATACTATTACATATTATCAAACAATTAAAATGAATCTTCTACATGACTCTACATTTTAAGACCTCGTTACGTTTAATTAGACCTCGTTCGACGAAGGTTAATCCGTAAAAGTAAAATTTCCAAGCAATAATTCAATCAATGATTGCTTGGAAGTTCTTCGAAAGAACGTATTATGACGTGAAAGAATTAATCTTAATTCGTATTATATATCAGATAAGATAAACAATGTTTTCTTTGTCTAGTTTGTAAAATAAACTGTGAGACACTTTATTGAGTTGTTGATAGTTCTCAGTAATTAGTATCACGATTTCTCCAATAGGTGGCGAATTAATCGAATGCATAGAATTCTCAGGAACGTATCTAGAGATATTCAAGAGTGCCATTGTACGTACATATTTCAATTTTAGTAAAGTTTGAAGTTCGTCGAGTCAGTACTTTCTTTCTACTATCTGTGTTAAATGATGTATCCTTCATAACCTCTATTTCTTTACTCTCTCAGAATTTTTTACTTTGACGTTTAACGTGATCAGTGATAATAATGGCAAAACTTATAACATGGAAATATCTTCTTTTATTAGTAATAATAAATTTCGGTATGCAATATTTTTTTATATATAGTATGTATTTTGCAAAAGATAATTTTTTAATAAAATTCTTAATTGCAGTTACTGCCAAAAGAATAAAGGATATGATTTATATGTCAATCGATGGAGCTGCTGCTTGTTTTCGAAGACACAATGGAACACATCAATTTGGTTGTTCTTGTAAGTGTTCTATTATGTTAAATCCTTACATATTTTATTTCATATATTTATCATCATAAATATTTACAAAATTAAAATTTTTCAAGAGCGTTTTTTCTAAGATGTTTAATATTAGTTACTTTCGTCTGTTGTAGCAAGTAGATCTGGTAGTGTTGGAGTAATACATTTAGTGGAGCATGAAGATGATGTCAGATGGCTAGAAACAAATGCAACCGCAGGTCCATATACCGCAGTTGTATCATTTTCTATGTTTACAAGAAAAATTCTTATACGTTTGAAAAACACTAATAACATTAATGGCATTCTATTGGCAAGGAATATTAGTCAAGAGTATCCAGATTTTTATTCACCTGAAGATACATGTCCAAACAGATATTCAAGTTATAAAAAATGTAATGAGAAATATCCATGGAATCCTTATGGATCATCCATTCTATTGGAAGACTGGCCATTTCCTATGTTCTACATGGAGGTTATAAATTTATATATATATAAATGGATTGTAATTATAATTATACTATTATACATATTATATATGATAATAGTAATTTTTTATAATTACAGAATCAAACACTTTTGGAAGCTATAAAGTCTTGTTTTTGGACTCATAATGCTCATGATCTTGAAAATCAAAGTGACCGATCTTTATGTGCATTAGAGATGAAATCTTTTATGTTTGCGGCTATTAACTCTGAATCATGTATAAAACGTAGTGATTTTTATTTAAATATCAATCCAACACTGTTCTGTGATCCACTTGGAGATAGAAATATACATTGGCCATTAGCACCACTAAAAACGGATTCAAATTCTGTAATTATGGTAACAGCTAGAATAGATGCATCTTCTTTGTTTGATGGAATATCTCCTGGAGCTCGAAGTACAGTAACAGGCATGGTTACATTATTAGCTACTGCAGCTTACTTAAAATCTTTAAATCCAGTTGTAAAAGGTAAATTATTTCTCCCATAATCTTGATATGTAATCATTTAACAAAGAAATAAAATTTACATAATTAATTGTTCCAGGAACAAATGTTGTTTTTACTCTTCTTAATGGAGAAGTTTTCGACTATATAGGTTCCAGTCGATTAGTATATGATTTAAAAGAGGGTAACTTCAATGCACTCGGTGGAGTTAATTTAAAACTCAATGACATTGTAAAAGTAATTGAACTTAGTCAACTAGACGAAGGAAATTTATTTTTGCATATTAGCAACAATGATAATGATCAAATAATAAGCCAGTTAACTGAAGATTTACAAGCCCAAGTATTAAATGATAGTGTCCCACCTACATCTGTACAAAGCTTTCTGGAAACAAAACCAAGTCTTACTACAATCGTTATAGCTAATCATCCCAATCACTTTATTAATAAATATTATAACAGCATTTTAGACAATGCCAAAACTCTTCATTTCAATAGGTATTATAAATTATAATAAGATATAGAAGTATATAATTTTATAATAATTCCTTTTTTTTTATCTTAGATCTATGAGCAGTCTTGCTTCAAGTTTAACAAAAGTAGCCGTTACTTTGGCAGAGGTTCTACACAATAACATTTCAGGTTACCATCGAACTCATCCTGGAGATTTAACTTGGGTTGAAAATCTTATCTCAGAGATGTTATCCTGTTATCTAGAAAGTGCAAAATGTAACTTATTTCATGCAGCATCCTCTCCAGGAACAAAATTAGCAGATCAAGTTTTACCATTATATGTCAGTGTACACAGGGTACCTAATACTGTTACAATTTTAACTGGTCAACTTCTTGCTTTCTTAACCGGTAAAAACATGTCAGATATGAATGAATCTGCATGTTATGATCATCATCTTGCATGGATGGGTGGATATAATTTAACTGGAATATGTATAAATTCGACTGTAAATTACAGTATAGCTTTAAGCCCAGCATTCACCATCAGTGGTATGTACTTTTATTATTATTAATTTATTGAAGTAAATCTAATGATAATATAATAATTATATATTACTCTATTTAATACAGATTATGATATGAAGTCAGGCATCTTTTCAACATGGACAGAATCAATATGGCAAATGCTAAGCGTAAGAATGTTTTTGAAACCTTCAGCAGCAACAGAACATCTTAGTATGATTCTTGGCAGTATAGTAACCAGTACATCTTTTATCTTAGTGTGGTTTATTAATTCCAAGGCTGATATATTATTTAATTCCAGGTGAAAATATATCTTAACTTAAAAGAAAGAAAAAAGGAAATGCGATTTTTAAGATAATAATCACAAAGTTTCATTTTACAGACGAGCCGTAGATTGCTAGGGATACGCTGCGGACCACATATCAATGACCAGGTTGGATCATCGAAGAAATGATGTTCCCGTAACAAGCCTTTAAATATACATGTGTGGTACGCCCTCGGACAATTTTTCTATGTCGGTATCAAAATTTGGGTCTCACCTCACTAGAAAGAAACTATTTCTCTTGAAATATTATAATAAGATGGAATGTATGATGTGTTTACAGTGAGAGTGCATGTATGATTTAGCGTGAAATGTTTTAAGAAATATTCACTTCTTTAAGCTATAATATTAAATTTAGATTTTCAAAATAATTCAAACAGTCAGGCTGAAGAATATAATTCATGGTAGAATTTTAATCGAAGCGTTCATACTTGAAAAAAGATATTTTTATGAAAATTATTCAACATTTGCCAACAAGTTATAAGTGTCGCTCTTACTTTTATTGTTAGTCAACGAACTACTTTGACGAAAGACACTGTCGTGATATATTATCGTCATATTTATAATGATTAACCATTTTTGTCATATCCTGCTTACAGATTTTTGTTAATAGCTTAAAAACTAAAAATTAATCTATTTACTTATTAGCACTCGGTAACAACGTATTTCTAATTGAATGAATAATGAAGATTTCTAATAAGATATATTTATTGTTTTTTTATTTAATATATTTGATAGTGTATTACTGTGTATGATACTATATATTTTTTATAGTAAGTTCACCAATTACTTTCCTTTATACATTTCGTTTATGTTGTAAATGAAATTTTACATTCTTTATATAGCGAGTGCATAGTTGACGAAAGGTCTGTACAATACCTTCTGTTCATGTAGTACAATTTAAATATTTATAAAACTCAGAATTGAATAGAATAATGTATTTTTTACATAGAAGAAAAAAAATTATAAAGACAGTCATTTAAATAGCGTTATATAAGAACGTATACTACATTTTTGGAGTGCCCAAACTGATTTTACTAAACGAAAAATCAAATATTTTATAGTATAATATTAAAACTAAATAAAAATTAGCAATGATAACACCACTTTAAAAAAATTAGTTGATACCTATATGGCATAAGTTTTCTTATTGATTGTATTTCCTAATTATAATCCAAGAAATGGAATAATATGTACACAGAATGTATAGGGTGAAAAAGTAGACAGACAATTATAAGAACAAAATTTATGCATGATTAATATTATTTCAAGTATATCTTATGCTCATTTTCTTGGCATAAACTGTGAAAGCCAAATGTAAAACACAAAACTTGAGCATAAATTTTCTTAATTGCTACAATATATAGTTTTTAGTTACTACACTAAAATATGTAGCAGGATCTTATATTTGTTTTACAAAATGCTGTATATTAATAGTAACAATATGACCAGTGACTTATCAGTATGATAAAGATGGAAAATTTGTATTGCAAGCGTGATGGCATTTATTATCAATAAACAACTTATTTAACAGGGCCTTGATGTACATGAGAGAGAAGTATTTGTTTTATTTAATTATGCTTTTTAATACGCATTTTAAGTATGTAATACGTGTAGTTTATGTCTTAAAAATTTGGCGGAAGTTAGGAATGGACCAATTATTTTCAATTTTTCTTTATGGATTAACTTCAGCCAAATAAATATAACTGGGTGTTCTATCAATGACAATT